CCCCCAAAAAAAAATAGATAAAAATAGCTTTCTTTAATTGGAGCAAACTTTCCTTTTTGTGTATATTTCAAAGTCAATGTTGAGCATGCAGGGGCAGTAATATTTAAACAAAGTTTTGTCCTTGTTTGATAAAACTGTTTTCTTAGCCATCTTCAATTAAATCTTTTATTTGTGCATTTATTATTGAGAAGTGTCAAGGGGACCAAAAACTAGAGGTGGAATTTACATTTCTTTAATTTAATCAACATTCTTATATAGAATCCCAGAGGCCACTGCTTACATAAAACTGTCATTAGGGTTAGACTGTGTGTAAATGGAGTTTTATGTCTGAATGGACTTAAATAATTTTTTGCAGCTTTATTCAGTTGAAAAGTTCAATAATAAAATATTAAAAGATATCTCAGTCCAGCCTTCATTCCTCTCAAATTCTGTTATTGGGTGCGAGTCCATATCCACCTCCACCAGGGGTCTGAATTCTTAAATGATCCTGGATAACAAAAATGCAATAAATGAATGTCTTGCTCTACAGAATAGTAAACAAAGAGACACAAGATTGTTGAGTAGCTATGCAGGAGGCTGTAACTGATTACCCTTTCAGCAAACTAATCAGTTTGTGGTTATGATGTTGTCGTGTAAAGCATAGTTTACACAAGATCATTTAGATTCCACCAAATATTTCAAGTGACACAGTGTTGGAAGAGATTATCAAAAACTACACTTGATAATCTAAACAATCATGGACATTCTGGTAATCTGTTAGAATATATATGTTTTATTAACCAAGCACGAGGGCCGTACTGGGAGAATATTGGCCCGAGGTCTTGACAGTACAGACCGAGCGCAGCAAGGTCCATACAAAAAAGACCAAGGGCCGATATTCTTCCAGTACGGTCCCGAGCAAGCTTGGTTAATAAGAGATTTATTATACGACTAAAGTTCAAAGGGACACAAGTGCTGTATCATTCGGGACAGTGCCTGGTCCAATACTGAGAGAAAATTGACCGGCAATAGAGCATTTTGATTGGTTGATTTTAGTTATTGGCCCTCTGACTGCCCGAGTCGTGTAATAAAACTGGGTTATAGCCTTCATGTTAATGCCTAAATCCTCCCAATTAGCTAAAAAACTGGGATAATAGGAACAATTTTGTGGAAACAGGTCGACCTGTATTTTCATACATACTTGATTATGAGGTGTAATTTATAAAAAGAGGTTTTAATGTTATCAGTTACAAAGTGCGTGAAATGCCTCACCCCTGCAACAACTTTGATAGTTGTTTTTGATCCAAGATTGATTATTCTTCCACTGTTGTGAATTAAAAGATTGATGCCTGTGCAACCTGGTTGTCCTCCTAGTAATTAATTGACGCACTTCTTTAAAAATTACAAAAGAAAATTCTCACTTGCAGGAGGGGAGAGAGGATGGGGTTGACTACCCACCTGTAAGGGCAGCAATAAGAGTTCAAGGAACTAAATAATGTAAGATTTGCAAACCAAGAAAATGGACATTTGACATTGCATTACATCACACAAAAATTGAAGATCCACTTTTTTTGTGCCTTTAAATAAAACTTTTTCCAAAAGATGTAAGCATATATCTATGTAACACAAAATGTTGACTACAATGTGGCTTGCTGCTGCTGAAGATCGATGACAACAACAAAAAAAAAGAATCGAGTGGAATCACGCTCATTAAAATGAAGTCATACATGTTTTAAAGAGTTTTTTTTGTATACACGTACTTAAAACACTTCAATAGTATTGAAGGGAGGTTCCATTAACGCAGTGACAGAGGAGGGTTGCAGTATCCTCAGCAACAAGGATATTGCCATGGTGACTGGGTCACAACCCACCACTAGGATCCAGTGAACACAATGCTGAAAAGCTGGTGTGTGAGATAAACACTTAACCAAGAGTAGGAGGATTAAGGGAAAGATATATGTTGCCTATTAACCGAAAAGGATGTTTCTTTTTTCTACCTTGAAGTCCATACGGTTGAAATGCTGATCTCCTCTCACACAAAACTGACAAAACTTGTTTTCTTCTAAACACCAACTCTCTAATTACTCCATCTCCACCCCTGTAAAAACCATCACCCCCACTGCCAGGGTTGAGATGAAAGCAAAGGAGTATAACAGGATACCTAGAGAGAATGATAAGAAATGTAACACAATGGACATTTCTGTACTATGGGACCAGTTTCTGCTTAGGGTACAAATGCAAATGTATACACTGCAGTAATTGTGATTTGCCTTTCCCCCAAATGTTTGCAGCTGAGCCCACTTGACAGTCCAATAATTTTTTGTATATAGTAGTAGCTAGCTCTGGTTTGTTATCAAAGGATGGATTTGAAACATTTTACGGTCTACTAATGAATCAGATGCTACTGTTCTGCGATCAGCTGCTTCTGTTTGTTAATTGCTTTAGTTCTTTTTTTTTTTTTTAAGGATTACAATGGCTGCCCAAACGAAGGCCTTGATCTTCACTGGGTTAAAAGTGTTTACAACATATCACAAAATTAATGAATAATAGAGTATGCTTTTTAGGTTTAATGCATCTCAAAATTGATGGCAAAAGTTACAAATATGTCAACTTATAGTAGATCAGGTCAAACTTAAATGCTAGAAGGAAGAAATGAATAAATAAAGTTACTAATTAAAATTATTAGCTTCTCTTTAGATCACCGTAATATTCATGCCCTTTTATTTTGCTGTTGTGCCCACTGGAATTATTCTGAGAAGTACTGCTTTCCCTTCATGCACACACCTTTGTTCAATGATCTCTGGGTCTGTTATCCGTGTATTTGTCATGTGAGTGTGGACACCACTTCGTCCAACCCACGTGGGACCCTAAACAGGAAACTACGACTGATTTCTATCATTTGTTTAAAATTAAAGTACTGTACGTCACAATGCAATGATAGGGCTGTATGCACATTGCAATTCAAAATATTGTGAATCCTATTTCCTTTAATTTGTGTGCTTAAAAGTCATGGCACTGATTATGGCTATGGTGGCAATAATGCACATAAATTATGGTATTGTCAATGGAAGAAATGGCTAAAGAGCATTAAGTTCAAATCTTACAGCGCCTGCACCACCAGCCACAGTTTCATAATAGCCAAAACCTTCGTCACCAAAAGTTGTATTATTCATACATCCCTGAAAAAGAAATAAGTTTGTGAGATTGCTGTCGAATTACGCCAGCTTGCCCACAACTTATGTAATTTTACCGTCAACTTACTAATACACAAATTTGCCAACATTATCCTTGCCAGTTTGCAGACGAGTCAGGTAAGCTTGCCCAACTCAGCTTAGGTAAGTTTGTGGACAACTCAGGCCATTTCAGCCATAACTTAGGACAGTATGCCAACAACTGAGCAGAATTAATAATCAAATTCTCAAATTAGTTAGCTGTTGACCCAGTTGAGTTCAATAACCACTAAGGTAAGGTAACTGGCACCTTAGGTGAGTTTGCAGGCAACTTGATCAGGGGAGTTTACAACTGACAATTCACCAAAGTTCTCCAACAACTCAAGTTAATTTTTAAATAACCTATGGTAACTATTATGTAAGAAAGCTAACTTTTAGTTACCTGCGATGCTGCACATACACCAAAAGCCTTGAGAACAACATCTACAACCCTCTGTGAGGTCAGGACACTTCCTCCGACCACTGCTGCAGAGGGTGAAGGATCTAACAGACAACCAGGAGGAAAGTGCACTTTTACTGGCACCAGACAACCCTGCAAGAAACAGCATGGCAGTTTGTTGAGTTCACTTTAACCTCTGGAGCTTGCAGGCTTCTTATTGGATCATCTCTTCTCACCCCATTTGTATCCCCTCCCAAGCCAAAATCTGTTCATTGATGTTATCATCTGAGTCTTTCCCCATACACCAAAAATTGCTCA